TTTTGTGCAGCCACTCAATGGGGCCACGTTATCTCATGGCCTGTGAGGATCCAAAATCAGCACAGGGAACCCAGAGAGGTGTCCTGTGCTGCTGCAGAGGGGACACAAGTGCAAACCCATGGGACACTTGGGCATGGAAGCAGCAGAGAGGGAGGATTCCGCTGGAATCCTCCCCCAGTAAGAGTTTTTCACTGGTGAAACTGGGGGCTAGAGGAGGCGGTACCCCTCCCCTCCAGCAGTGGGATAAAAAGCTCCCAGTGAGCAGCAGAATGGTGCTTCAGAGCTGTTTATTCCAACAGACCAATTCATTCCAGCTAATTGCTGAGAGTTTTTAAATGATTCCTGGCAGGGGTGAAGCTAAAGGAATGATTGCTGGTGATTGATGAATAACCTGGATAAAATTCCCAAAGCACCAGAACTCTTAACTCTTGCATGGGGACACCTGCTTTTATTTAGTGCCTTGCCCACAGAGAAAGGCACTGGAGTGAGTTCCAAATGAACCCAAATTTGGGCAAATGGAGAAAATAGAGCATTTACTGATACCAGTGTTTCATCAGTGTCAGCTCATTTCTCAAAAATAGCTCACAGGGAATGTTATTTAACCCTGTGCTGCTCTGATCAGGATCACGCATGGAAGGGGGAGAGTTTGAAGAGCAGTCACCATCTTTTAGAGGAGGGCACAGGAAGAACCAAAGGTTTGAAGTTTGAAACTCCATAAATATGAACCACACTGCACTGATTTGAGCTGCTCTCACCATTTACGCAGCAAAAGAAAACAGTGAGACATCTGTGGATGGGGCCAATGTTGTGTTTCTTACTGGAAAATATCTACAGGCAAATGGAAATTTTAGGGTAACTAGATGCCATTTTACAGCCTCTGTAATTGGGAAAACGATTAGGTGATTTCTGGGTAGAAATTGATGGTTTGGAGGGAATGGGAAAACACTGGTGCAGCAGAGGAGAACTGTGGCAATAGCCATCTGTTTAAATGGATACACTACCTTCCCTAAGCTGGTATTTTTCAAATACCCTACCAGCAATATTTTTCACTATAGTGATGCATTATAGTGAAATGGAAAGATGCTGAGGAAGTAGTTTTTTTCCAGCATGTGCTGCATTCTTTTAATACAGATTTTTTTATTGCCCGGAAATTGCTAAGCAATGTGAATAAACAGCTGAACAAAGCCATCGGCCCTTCCTCACTAACAGCAGAATGCAGCCAGTGAGGGAAGGGCCTTGGGAAAAACTGAGTGTTAGAGTTGGGTTCTCTTGTACTGCAGAAAGCTTTATTCAAAACAGGAAAAAAATCTGCACACCACAAAGGTTTTACATTACAAAAGCACAAACCTTATTCACATCTCTGAGCAGTGTCCCCTCGTTCCTGCTGCTGAGGCAGGCACCGAGCAGAACCAGGCGGTTCTTTGTTAAGTGCCTTTTTTACTGAATATTTGCAAAACACAACCAATTTACCCCCCCTAGCCACGAGGTCCCTTCCTGCAGCCCCCTGAGCTGACAGCTCTGTCAGCTCCTGAATCTCACCTCTGTAATGAAATTGGAGAAACAAGACAGCACTAGGATGGAGCAGAGTCAAGAATTAAGGCTGTGCAAGACTGGAGAATCCCACAACCTCACAAAATACTTCAAAAAAGAGAAGGAAAAAAATACTCAAGCAAAGTGTAAGGTACAGCTTTCTGCAGTGCCTAGGGATTGTTGTCTGGGCCTTAAACAGGAGTATTGCATCCTTATAATTCAATTTATCAATGATTTCACGTTCCTGTGTTATGAAAGCTGTTCTGTTGCCACATGAAATAGCCCAGGTCACTGTAGCTTCAGGGGTGTGTTTCATTACCCCATGAATAAACCTCATTTGGTGTCACAATTACATAAATAAAAGTAGCAGTAGTCTAGCAAGGTGCAATTCTGTGATTTCTCCATCATGGCCTTGAAATACTTGTGCCCTGGTAGGTTATTGATGTGGCAAACCCGCCTGGCTTTAGAATGTGCTAATGTTTCCCACTCTTCAGCTGTCCCCAGCCCTACACCCACATATTTCTTCTTTTCCTATCAGAGCCTTCAGCAAGGCACCCCTGGGAAAGCAGCTCTGCCATCTCATCTGGTGTGAGAGCCCCCAGAAGAGGCATACACTGAGCACATGGCTCAGCGTCCTCTGCATCTCCTCGTAAAGGGCGAGGGGAGAAAAGCCAAAGAGCCATTGCAGCATTCCAGTAAGCATTGCAGAAGACAAGTAGCCCAGAAGGATATTTGAGGGTGTTCCTGTGCCCTTGCCAGAGGACAGTCAGAGCTGGGTGGGGTCACCAGCAAAGCCAGATTCCCCTGTGAACTAAACAGCTTCCTTTCCATGTATTTCACCTCAAAATATCCAACCACTTTTCCCTCTGACTCAGTTGCTAACAGCAATTCCAGCTGTAGGTGCCCATGGTTTGAGTGGTCATTAGCATTTTAAATAGCATTTCATTTAGCCATGCAAATGAGGAAAGTTTCTGGTATTCCAGCACTGCCAGGCCCCTGGGCCCAGCTGTAATCCAGAAATGCAGCAGAAAAGCCTCTTTTTTGTGCTTCTCAAGGCCTCAGGTCAGGCTGGGGATGGGTGAACATGTGCAGCACTTCTTGCTTCATGTGAGCAGAGTCACTTCTCTGCAGCAGGGGAGTGATTTCCCGGGCAGTGGGGATGGCCAGCTGATCCTGGGCTGGGACAGGCTTAGGAGTGACTGGAGAACCACACATAAACATGACAGAGCTTCACCAGGAACTTTCCATCACAGCAGAAGTGATGTTTCCCCCAGCATCATTATGACAGCGCTATTTGGGCTGGTACAGATCATCATCTGTCACTGTTTCCATTAGAATCTCCTATTTCCCCGGGTTCCCAGCTCAGCCATAAAAAATATATAAGATAGAAGCAGAAAGTTGACATACAAGGTCTCGGGCTGAGAGTGATCACTGTTGTCTTTTCTTCCCCCGCTTTTAATCTGAAGAAGGAAATAAGGTATTTTTGCAGAGACACACCTGGCCCACTGCATTTCCACCCAGCCGTGGATTTATTTCTAGTAAAAAATAAGTGATAGGACAAGTGGAATGGCCTTAAGCTGAAGGAGGGCAGGTTTAGATTAGTTATTAGGAAGAAATTCTTTACTGTGAGGGCAATGAGGCACTGGAACAGGTTCCTGAAATTGTTCAAGGCCAGGCTGGAAGGTGTTCCTGCCCATGGCAGGGGGTTTGGAACTGAATGATCTTTAAGATCCCTTCCAGCCCAGACCATTCTGTGATTTTATGATTTAGCAATAGTGATGGTCACCTTTCAACACAAGCTGTGAATGTTGCTGCTGTTCCACATTTCATCTTAATCACTGCATTAGGGGTGATCAGGAAGGACACGTGGTAGTGGGTTTGGGCTCTGGTTTGGAGCTATTGCTGCAGAACAGGCACAAGTGAAGATTAAGGGCTTTGGAGTTTCTAATCTTTGCCAGATGATGAAATGAAAAATTGTGATTTATAGAAATAACAGCTGGATATCGTAAAAACAGAGCCCTGTGAGGAACCAGAGGTGTAGGAGACCCTTTGGGATCAGGAGCAGAGGGAAAAGCAAGCCCAGCACTGAGGTTTCCCCCATGAGACACAAAGCAGAAAATTCCATCCCACACGTTCCATGTCTGTGCTCCGTGTTTTGGCTGCTTTAGGCAAACTTCCACCCTGTAATGTTGCTGCTGCAGAGTGAAAACCCCATCCCTGCATTAGTTACACTGGGATCCACCACCTGGACCCTGGCACTGGGGGATCAGTGATGCAGCAAGAGCAGCATTTTGCCAGGAGGAAGGGCCAGCAGCAGTTTGTCACTGGGGACACGGGCAGGACAACAGTGTCCTTTCTTCTTCCAATTTTAAACATCTCTTTGTTCTATTCACACATTTTGTAGAAAGAGATGCAGCTGAAAAAGTTTTTCTTTTGTACATTAGGACCACTGTGTAAGGCAGTTCTAAACAGAACAGACCCTAAAAATGCCTTCTCCACAGCTTCTACTCAAGATTTAAAGTACCTAAAAAGTCAGATGATCATTTCTATCCTGTTGAAACCCAGATCTTGCTTCTGACCTCTGGATCATACACTCAAGTTCTGCATTTCTGACAGGACTTCTCTGCCAGAGAGAGCAGCAAGAACACACCTGGGAAATGTGTGTCTGCACTGAGTTGGAAACTTTACTGAGAGCTGTTTGTTTCACTCTGAAATCCTAAGGCCATTCTGTCACTACCAGAAGGAAGTTTTGCTTTCTGATTGCAGACTCAGCTCGGTCTTGTCACGGATCTTAAAACTGAGCTGAGCTGTGTGGCTGGGAGTGCTCAGCACTTCTGGAAGGCCGGGCCTTGCTAAGCACAGGCAGCTGTGCAGCTGAAGCCAGCACACCAAAACAGGGCCATCTTCACTGTGTCAAACTAAGGGCACAAAACGTGCAAACTAGGTTTGGATCAAATGGAAAAAGCAACACCAGAAAAGACAAATGTACAATGAATGGTTTAGGAGACAATTACACCAACAGAACAGGATTTTAAGCCTAAACCAGCTGGAAGGTTGTGGAGAGAAAAAGGAAGGGACTGGAAAGTCGTGCTGTTCTCTTTCACTCTGTCTTTTAGCAGAGGGGCCACTTTGGTCTGCAGGGTTTCCACTTTCCCCAGTCAGGTATTCACCTAACAAATCTGTGAGCATGGGGCACCTGCCTGCTCTTGCACATCCCAGCCATCAGCCTGTCCAGAGGTTTATCCATTTGTCCCCATGGATGGCTCCTATTGACATTTTTGCATCTTCCATAAGCTATTTTGAGTAAAATCCTTGAGCTTTCATAGGGCAGTAGAAATTACTCCTTACAGTGGCCCAGGTGACTGATTCAGACCCTGTGGGTATAAAAAATAAATATCCATGGCTCCTTCTGTGTCTTGGCTGTTTTATTCCCCCCCTTGACACTGCTCTCCCTTTCTGTTCTGGAGCAGGTGTTCTGTGACGCCAGCCGGGTCGTACAAGCCGCGGACGTGCTGGACTGGGAAGACAAGGATGCTGCAGAGACACTGGTTGACAACGTGGTCCATTCCAGGATCATCAACCCCCTACGCCTCTTTGTCAAACCATCTCCAGTGCTGAAACACGGCCAGGTGTCCTACTCGGACAGCATAGAAAACTTTTGGGATTGGTTGTCCAACATCACGGAGGTTCAGGAATCTCTGGCACGAACTAAACGCAGACCTATAGTAAAAACTGGGAAATTCAAGAAAATGTTTGGGTGGGGTGACTTCCACTCCAACATCAAAACTGTAAAGCTGAACCTCCTGATCACGGGGAAAATCGTCGATCACGGCAACGGAACCTTCAGCGTTTACTTCCGGCACAACTCCACGGGTCTGGGGAATGTTTCTGTCAGCCTGGTGCCACCTTCCAAAGTGGTGGAGTTTGAACCATCCCCACAGTCCACGCTGGAGACCAAGGAGTCCAAGTCCTTCAACTGCCGCATCGAGTACGAGAAAACAGACCGCGCTAAAAAAACTGCCTTGTGCAACTTTGACCCTTCCAAGATCTGCTACCAAGAGCAGACCCAAAGCCATGTCTCCTGGTTGTGCTCCAAACCCTTCAAAGTCATCTGCATTTACATCGCTTTCTACAGCGTAGATTACAAACTGGTGCAGAAGGTCTGTCCCGACTACAACTACCACAGCGAGACGCCGTACCTGTCCTCCGGCTGACCCGGCCTGGGGCTGCAAAATCACACGAAAACGAGCATTCCCATTAACCTTTTGGAGAAGAATATGTTTTCCTATCAGGTTCAAAAGTCTCTAAAAACCGTAGCTGTGTTCGTGCTGTATCGTAACTAATCCAGCTGTTTATGTAACAATAATTTTCGTTTGAGGCCGTTGAATTTTAGCTCTCTCATCGTTCGTAAGGGAACCGCCAGGCAGGCACGTGACAAGAATCAAACAAAATTATGTCTGTAACGAACACTGATCTTAAAAATCGCTTTTTTGAACAACTCCATGGCAGAGAGGTTGTCTTTTACTTGAATTGGACAGCACTTAGCAGGTCCTGTTTCTCATTGGGAACTTTAGGTGACAATAGAAAGAACAAATGATGAAGCAGCCTCAAAGCTGCTCATACTCAAACTTCAAATAAACAGCTCTCCCACTGATTTCATAAAGAATTTTACACAGAGGGCTCAAGTAGTCAAGTCCAAATACAAAGAGGAAGTGCTAATTCTTTGATAAAAAGAAAGAAATCTGAATTTTTATGAGTTGTAGTAACTGTAGGTGTTCATTGAAGAGCGAGTAGTTCTTCCTTCAGACTTCCTACCATGGATGTGCAATGATGTAATTAGACCTCAATGAGCTTTGGTTTATTACACCCCACAGGTGTGCACGTGTGGTATACATTCCTTCCTCCCGTGCCCACCACTGGGTTAGATTCCTCTCACACATTCACACAAGCACACACAACCCAGGATTAGTTTTTTAGCAACAGAGAATCTATAAATACCTGGGGAAAAGATAATCTCTGTTTAAGTCAACCTGGTCTAGTGGAAGGTGCCCCTGCCCATGGCAGGGGGTGGAACTGGATGATCTTTAAGATTTGTTCCAACCCAAATCATTCTGTGATTCTCTGAAGTGTAGCAGGGGCTGGCTTCCAGGAAAAGGAAGCAATTATTTTGCAATGCAGCCCCTGAGCATTAAAGTGCAGCAAGGAAAACCCATCACAGCACAAGGATGATACCTGAACAAGCAGCTTTCTCCCTCTTGGCCCCAGTTGTTCCCTTAGCACTGCACTGCACACCTTAAGTCAAAGTATCAGCCATGACAAAGAGAGAGAACAACAAGCTTTCTCCCTCTTGGCCCCAGTTGTTCCCTTAGCACTGCACTGCACACCTTAAGTCAAGTCAAAGTATCAGCCATGACGAAGAGAGAACAACAAAAATCTATGCACCTTCACCTCATAAAGCAGGTTTGGAACTGTTAATATAACTACTCAGCCAGGCTTTCCCCTGGTGCAGAACCAGCTCCCTGCAGCTGTAGCAAGGGAGGGTCCAGCTGTGGTCCCACCGCAGTCAGGAGTGGTTGGCTCTGGCCATGCAGGTTCCAGCATCTCCCCCTGTGCTTTCTCTGGGTATTGATCTGCTGCTGCTGCTGCTGCCAATTTGCTCTCCTGCCCCTTGGTGACAGCTCGATGTCACCTGTGGAAGGAGCTGGCTGAGGAAGTGCTGATTGCCTCCAGTCAGACTCGCACACGGGGTTCAAGAAGTTACACACAGCTTAAATAAAGCACTATTGAAATACTGTTTGGTGATGTGCACACAGGCAAGTGACTGTGGCAGCTCAGAAGGACTCACTCATGAGATTAATTCTGATTTCCTTGGTAAAGACTCACAAAAAATTACTCTGTTAAAAATATACGAGTAACTGGGTGATTTGTTTTTCTCTTTAGGTGACAAATTTAAATGTGTGGTTTAGTTTGATCAATAATCTAAATGTTTTCCTTCATCTTATTTCATACAGAGTCTCTCCTGGTCTATAATGATGTTTTTTAGTTTGCCTATTCCTGTCAATTCCTACAAGTTGGTCTACTTTGTGTTCTGTATAGCGTGTCCTGGCCCCAGCTGTACATGAGCTTGGATTTATTGCTACGAGTTCAGTGGTTGGTGCTTTTGTAACTTAGCTGTAAGCCATGATTTTATTGCCATGTATTTTTACTCAGCACTGTAGGCAATTAAAAGAAAACCCTACATGCTATTTATTGTAGAGTATGTGGAAACCATGTATGTATATACACTTAAATATGTGTACATATACAGAACATATGTGTACATGTATTTGTATGTAAATAAAGAGAGTTTATTAAATCTGGCACTTGCTTGCAGCCCATCTGATGTTTGGTTTTAAATGTTGCATGTATGAAGACACAAAGGAAAACTAGGGCACAGCAACAACTCACTGCACATTTTTGCCCAGCTGGAATTTGTTTTTCTAGGAGATATTTAAATGTGTGCTGTAGTGAACAATGTACAAGCCTAGGCAGAGTAGGTTCAGCAGCATTCCATGAGATTTGAGAAATGAAGCACATGTTTTGACAAAGACAATCCTGAACTGTTTAATAACTGCACCAGGTACATGAAAAGTGAAGAGGAAAGTTTAAATTGGACAACATTCCCCAGCAGGAACGTGCTGGGAGAGAGGGCAGCTCGCTGCTGATTCAGCCCTTGCTCAGTCCCTCATCAAAAGGGGAGCTGGATTCTCCTCCCACTTCCCAGGCTGAGGTTTCCAGGCCTGAGGAAGACAAAGCATGGGAGAACTCACCCCAGTGTCCTCCCATGCAGCCCTGGCACAGGGAAGCAGCCTGGCAGCGGGAGGGAGCTGTGGTACCAGACTCCATCACACCCAACAAGTCCTCACCACTTTTCTTCCAGCCACAATACTTTATGAATCAGCTTAAAAGCAGGTGGTTGCAGTTTTTCTTCCAGATTAATTTTGAAAACACAAAAATTTTTTTTTAAAAACAAACAGTTACATTCTTACTGCAGTCAAAATCTGCTTCAGAAGAAATTATTTACAGCCAGCAGGGTAAGCAAAATACAATGCAGTGATGACAGGCTTGATTAGGTCAGATGTCATGCTGCCCATGTAAACAAAACTAAATGTGATTTCATTTCACACAGAACAGGCCGTGCATTTTCCTGTGTAGCAGGTGACTGTTTCAGACAAGTTTCAAATTGTTGCTACTATAGCTCTTATTCAAAGGATTTTGAAACAAAAACTTGAATTATTAAATATAATTTAAAAAAGAGTCTTGAGTGGGCAATCACAATTTATGGTTGCAGCAACTTAATCCAGAAGTTTTTTTTATACAGCCTTTATTTAATCCAAAACTCCACAGGACAGTTTTGTACACATTTATATCAGTAAAATATCAGAGAATCATGGAATATCCTGAGGTGGAAGGGTCCCACAGGGATCATTGAGTCCAGCTCCTGGCCCTGCACAGGACACCCCAAAAATCCCACCTTGTGCCCAAAGCACTTCCTGAACTGTGGAAGGTTTGGGGCTGTGACCACTTTCCTGGGGATTTAATATTAAAAATGTAAACTTATTGCTAAATACCTTTCCTATTGTTCTCTCCACCCAATGGGGAGAACATTAAAAATTTCCAATAAAAAGCAGCTTCATGACAAACATATAAAGCCTCAGCTTTTTTCTTTAGCCAGCACTCTGTGCAGAGCTGCAGGAACGCACATCCATGCTTTTTTAATCATTCCAACCTAAAGAAGGAAGTAACAGCTTGGAGTTTTTCTTGCGTTCCCACTGAAGAATTTTGTCCTCTGGACCTCCAGATTTCTGATTTCCCTGCAGCCCTCACCAGTGGCCACATCCTGCTGGGAGTTCTTCAGGCTCCCCAACTCCTTGTGGGGACCACGAGGCAGTGCCAGGCCCTCACAAGGAGCCAGCAGGGCAGAGAGCTGAGCACTGTGTGCCATGGCCTGCCTGGGGTTGCACATTTGCTTTTTAGAGGGAATTTGCAAATGAGCAAACCCCTGGATGATCCTGATGCAACTGGAAAAACTCTCACAGCAACCAAGCGAGGGTGTTCCGTGCAGATCAGCATCCTGTGCTGCTTTTCTTTCTAAATTGTAATTCAAGGACATTAGAATTTGCTATTTGTTTTATGCTCTGTTGACCAGCATAATCTGGATAATGTTTTATTTATAGTATAATAATGATTCGTCATTAGCACCGTCTCTATTCAAATTTGCACAGTTGAAAAGACAATAACAAGCTGCTGTACACTAAGTAGCTCAATGAAACACACATCAGTCAAGTAGATTTTTAGCTGTAGGGTGTCTAGTTTGAAAAACCAGACTTTGCCATTCCCACCTCTCCCTCGTGAGCACCTCCTGCACGTGTCCATCAGGAGCAGCATCCTTTGTTTTGGAGCTAACAAATCAAGTGGGTTTACAGAAGAGGAGCTGAATTATCATGAAATATTCTACTTGGTGTCAAACAACACATCCCCTGAGGGTTGTTGAGCTTGGGGCTGCAAAACCTGTTCAGATCTGCAGCCAGGAGTGATGGGAACTGAACAGAGTCCACAGGACACGGCCAAGGCTGCTGCCACCAGCTCCATGGCACAGCTCTGCAGCCCCAAACACTGGGGGCTGTCAGCCAGAAGCAAGGCCAGAGCTGTTGGTACCCTCAAGCAAGAACCCCAGCCATCCTGACTGAATTTTGAAAGGAAAAAAAAAAATCACAAAAAAATGCTATTTCCAAAGATGTAATTCAGTCTCCAACTCAGCACAAATCCAGCACCAGCTGCAGCCCAATTAAAAAGCAATCGCAGTCATGGGAAAACAGTTTAGTGGAGAAGAAAAAATCCTACCTGCATAAACAGCGGTGAGACTCTAAAATAGACTCCAAAAGAAATATCAGCACCTTCCTATTCAACAGGAACTGAACAGCCAACCAGGTCAGTCTCTTGCACTGCTCTCTGCTTTTGTCCTCAAGCCAGAACAGAGGGGGAAAAAACTCCACTGCTTCAGGGACTTGTTAATGTATTCTCTTCATTTTATGGAAAATGCACTGAGATCAGCTCGGCTGGCCAGAGCAGGTGCTGATCACACCCAGGCCATGGGCTGGACACCCCCATGGGCCGTGCACTCAGGAGCTGCACCCAGAGATCCTCCTGGCTCACTTCCCACTCGGAATGTGCTGTGGCTCCTCACCCAGACACGGGGAGCTGAGCCGCACTGAGGGCCCAGAGGTGATGGGCATTCCCCTGTACAAGTCAAAAGCTCAACTGCCTTTCCCAGCTAGCAGCAAAGGAGCGATGTGGGAAGCTCAGAGCTGGTACATGGGGACACCAGGGTCTCTTCTGGCTTGTCCCGAGGCCAGTACCTCCACCCAGAGCTGGGCCATGGGAGCAGGGCAGGGGCACCACAGGACGTGGCCTGATGGCACTGATGCCTCAGGCTTTATTAGCATTTGTAGTTTTCAGATTCTGTGCTGCTTTAGTGTCTGGGTCTGAGCTTCATATTAGGGGATGGTGAGCTCTCTTCACAGAGTAGGGAGACAAAGCAATTCCTTCTCCAGGTGGGGACCAAGGACAAACGATCCAAATCTCAGGCCCAAAAGCACAAACAACGTGGACTGAAGAGAGAAAAACAAGAAGGATGGGACTGCATAACCTAAAGCTATAATTGCACAAATAACTCCAATATGCAAATGGAGCAGAACTGATAAAAGTGAGAGACTTTATAAAAGTGATCATCCATTTTGGGACCGTTTTGGTTCATCTTGGGTGCAGCCCTGGCTGGGCTCTTGTGCTGCCCAAGGTGGATCCATTGAGGCCTCCTAATAAATCCCTACTTTAGCTCTGCCTAGTCTCTGTTCTAGGGCAGCCTTCACAAGGCATCAGCAGGAGCTGAGCACAGCCATGGCAGGAACCCCTGTGCAAAAGCAGCCCCTGGAACACCTTCCCAGACAGCCCAGTGTTCCCCTTGCCTCTCGTGTAACCATCCTTGGAAAACAAGGCAGCTTTTTTGGCAGCCTGATCCCCAGCCAGCATTCAGTCCTCACCCTGCTCACTTGCCCTTGGCAGCCCTACATTTCAGCCCCCTCGGATGCAAATCCCATTTCCTTGTTCTCTTCCTCATTCCCAGACAGTGTGTGGCTCTTTCATCATTACAAGCCAATTAAGCCTCGGCTACCTTATCTTAACAGCTCCAAATAAGCTGGTGATCTTCCTGAAAGGTGATACATTATAATTGGTTCCAAATTGGCAGGAAAGAGAATAGTGAAACATGAGACTTGGAGGTTATTTGAATTA